AAAGATAAGAAGACTGTACAGAAGATGGGAGTGCATTAATGTAATGAATATATATATATATAGGGTGGGTATAAGAGTCAAAGTAGTGAGTTAAGGATATATTTAAAGGAAATATAGACAGTGGTAACGTCAGAATAACATTAATGGCACTGGAAATGTCAAATTATATACAGGCCGGTGTTCTGTTAGTTAATGTGTGACTGGACAGTTAATAACCCTGCAAGTTCAGCTACATGTTAAACATCTTTAGTTACTGTTTTCTATTAATAAAGCCCTTTTTAAAGTGTGTTTTCTCTGGTTTAATTCTCACCTTCAGCCCTTGGTAAGGACAACAGCGTGGGCACAGTTTCCCACTATGACAAAGGAAGGAAATGCCTTTACTAACGCGGTGCCATGTTGCCTCCACTTTACTGAAGCAACAAATTTGCCCCGAGGTCAGTCGGTGATGTGTACTTGATGCTTTGTCATCTTACACCTATACAGTACGTGTACAGTTTACACAACCTGGGTTTCATGCCGCTGCGTGCCTCTGCGCCGTATCTATATAAAGAGAAAAGGTTGGTCTTTTCATATGCTTTTATTATGTAGTAATTAGGAAGCACAATAACATCGTAAAGCCAGGCCGATGTCTCAGGTTTGTACATGCTACACGTGTAAAAAAAAAAAAACATAGTTAAACATTAGTTTTCCTTAGAAACAAACTCTCCCTTTTGGACTTTGGTGCCTGTGCTCACCTCTGCTTTAAACGCCATTACAAGGCTTCGGCTGAGTGGATATGAATCACATCCTCTTTGGAGTTAAACTACTAATTTAGGTGGTGACTTTAGAGCACAACAGGGGCTGTTCATTTTCTGTCACGCACGGCACAGAAGACCGCTGTAGCCGTGGTGACTTCTTGAATGGTTTTGCTGACAATGACTTCAGGCCTTTAACTAATAGGAAGCGTACTGTCTGTGCCCCTCAGGCATGATGTGGCCCGGCCCAGCCCAGCTCAGAGTGCCAGTCATAGTGCCAAAATACCAGTGCACGTTGTGAAGGACGCAAGTGTTGCAGGCCAGAGCCTAGGAGCCTCCGCTGGTGCATCTGTTAGTACAGTCGTACAACACTTACAGTGCCCATAAGCAGCAGCGCAGGCCTCCTGGGTAATCCCCCTGTGTTTTCTCTCCTGGTAACCAGCTGTTGGACCAATCAGAGCAGGCAGTTGGCCGGGGCGCTGGGCAATCTCTCCGGGTGGGGAGGGTAATTATTACGGAGATGTACTTTGTTTTGCAGATGCTCTTATCCAGGGTGACTGACTCACTTAGCTCGTATTTTTATCCGTTTTGAAACAATCCAGGGTGTGGACTCGACGGCGCGCGGCCGGCCAGTGATGAAGCTGACTCTACCCTCACTGATTCCCTACAACAGAGATTTTGTTCATCTCCTAGAACATATATTCCTGCAGCGCGCCCTTGCTCAGCAGCTCACTTTAAAGTCCTGCCAGTCTTTTTGCCAGGAAAGGGAGGGAGAGGACGTTTCCAGATGAGGTGGTACGGGTGTCGTAACTAGCTTGGTTTGCCAGCGTAGTGTGAGCGTGCAGCAGGTGAATTATTCATGCGTCCATTACTTCCCTGTCAGTTTAGCACATAAAAGATGAGGTCATTCCCCCGTGCGTTGCTGTCACGTTTCCTATTTGCATACGGTGGCCTAGGATGTCCCGCAAGAACACGACTGAGCTACTTTTAGATTGTGTCATGGCGAAGGTGCGTGAGAGATGAAATAAAAGGATTATACAGACGAGAAAAAGTGCTCCAAACACGAGTAAATAACACAGAAGCAATAGACTCCTGTTTTATTGTAGCTGTGTACCAGGAAGTGAGGTTAGTTACCAACAAAGACTTATTTTGCCAAGCGGGACGAATCCAATTCAATTGAATGCATCACACAACAAGAGTCACGTGGATACTGCAGAACAACCTTGGACTGTGTGTTACTGTCTCTCTTGAATGAGCGTAGTATCGTAACAAAGCCATCAGGAAGCAGGAACGTGACGGAGCACTTATTAATGCTGTAGCAATGCTTTCCACTGTAATTACATTTTGAGATAGTAATCCCATCAGACACAAGTGTAGGTAACGAGGCCAGTAGCAGCAGTAACAATGAGGACTTTAAACCCGGGCGGTGCTGTTGTTTGCTGATAGTGGCCCGGTGGCTCATGTTCCGGCAGGGGTAATTGCCAGGATGTGGCTAGCTGGAGTTGAATTATCAACTTCTTAAGATGCTGCTGGTCTGTGTTGTACCGAGCTGCACCGAGATGTGACCGTCTGTCAGGGCTGAGGGGGGGGGGTTTATGAGCCGGAGTGCAAATTGAGGACCTCGCAGCTGTAGTAGTGGTAAAGGTGCTGCAGCTTTTAATGCCAGGCAGTGGCATATTTGTGGTTTCACCTTGACTTGTGAGTGTGTTCACCTGTACGGTTGTCCCTGAATAACAGCCATGCTAACCAGTGGCATTTCCAAGGTGACACCGGCTGCTTGACGACATTCTCCTGCTCTTACAGGTGTTTACGCTGAATCTGACAGTAACTAATGTGCTGCCACTCAGGCATGTGTGTTTTGTAACCTGGGCTATCACATGCAAATGTCTTGTTCTTTAACTCTTAATACAGCACAGCTAGGACCCCACCCGTGAGGCTGGAGAGGAGATGAGTCAGCAGGGACCTAAAACCTCCAAAGACAGCGTGCCATCTCAGTTGAACTTCAGAATTGCCCTTAGCATCAATTTTATTACGTTGCGGTCGGCTTCTTAAATCCAGCTATTGATTGCTTTCTCACTGGAATTGTGCTTTGAAGTTGTGACTGGCCCATGGGATATCACCATCAGCTACACTCTGCTTGTTCAAAGAAGGCTGGCTCTTAAACTAGTAGTAAAGGTTTAGTTCATTACAAATGCTGTGCCGAGATTGTTGGAAAGGAGTTACAACGGGACGAGACGAGCCGAATCAGGACAGCTCACTTTCAGAGGAGTGAATCAGGTTGACAACATTGAGTTGTGACAGCTTGGCTCTGTCTCAACACCCCTGGTTTGAGTGGGTCTTTGTTGTGTCTCATCCCTCCTATTTACCTACATTCATCACACATCTGTCAACTCTCTATTTACTTTTCAGATGAAGGTAAATACGTCTGAAAGAAATATTTACCTATCAGTGAAACACACGTAGGGCCGTCACGATAACTGCAATGATGAAATACCACTCCAGTGACGAGCCAACCACAAGGGATGGCAAGCAACCGCCGCACACGTAACGTCACATCACCACGTTCTGTTCGGTATTTGTATTTTAGGATGGAAAAACACAGCTGAAGCTCTGTCTGAACTGTGGTGCTCCTCAGTATCCCTCAAATCACAGCCCAGGATTACAATACCACACAGGAGAAAGTCATGTAAGCACTCCAGACTGTAAGCACCGGCAGTCTTTCAGTGGAAAAACACAGACTGGTCAGCTAATTATCTCCCGTCACCACAGTTGTGGCGTTTGCATCCGGAGGCTCGCCAGGGTTTCAGTTTAAGGAGTGACCCTTTTCTAACTGGCAACTTTTAAGGAGAAGTGCCAACTTTATTCGACTGAAAGTCTCCAGTTAACAGGCTCAAGGACCCAGGAGGTAGGAGCAGTGCAGGTGATTAGAGCAAGCAGATACTTGGTGAAACATTGTCCCGCTGTATCCCTTACAAAGTCATTTGCAAAGGCAAAAAAAACAATGCACTGTTCGGCCACCCTAAATCACCGCAGGGGAAATTCCTCCATCGTGACGTGTTTGTGGATCAGGTACAAATGGATGTAGAGGGTCGGTTGATCTTTTTTTTTTTTGAAGGGTCACATCAGCTATGGCAATCCTTGATCATGCTGTGATTTCAAATAAACGACTGCCTTTAGCTGTGCAGAAAGCATAACGTCCTGTCTGCCAACGGTTCTTTTTTTTTTTTTTTATCAGGAAACACTTATCAGATGCTGGGTGGTGTTGTTGTTTTGTCAGTTGGTGAAAAGAAAGTATTACAAGCAGATCTGTTTACACAACATGTCACAGATTCTTATTTTTGAATAAGGCGACACAGTCATGGGTTTTGTTCTGGTACTTGCTGTTACTCACTCACTCTTCCTCCCTTCTTTCCAGGGTAAACCGTACATGTTCGACAGAGTGTTTCAGTCGAATACAACACAGGAACAAGTGTACAATGCCTGCGCCCAGAAGATTGTTAAAGGTGAGGTCTCGCTTCTGTTTTTTATCTGTATGTTTTTGCACCATACTTATTATTTAGAGCACAACAAATAAAAATGCAGCCCAGTCTTTTTTAAATGTTGATTTGAATACTAAAATCTTGCTTCGACAATTGCGTGTGGTGTCTTTTAGATGTTCTGGACGGATACAATGGAACAATTTTTGCATATGGGCAGACATCTTCTGGCAAAACACACACCATGGAGGTAAGAATGACCTCTAACAACTGGTGGTGTTTCTTTTCTGAGGAAGTGATTTTGAATAACATGAAATCATTTTATTATTTGCTCTGGGTTTGCAGGGGAATCTCCATGACACAGATGGAATGGGCATCATCCCCAGGATAGTGCAAGATATCTTCAACTACATCTATTCCATGGATGAAAACCTGGAGTTTCATATCAAAGTAAGTGTGTTTGAAATCTGATGTAACACTGTTTCAAACTGTGGGTGCTAGCAACAAGCTACCCACTTCCTGTTTTGTTATTATTAAGCATTTTTCTTGCAACGAAATAGGCGAGGGATGAGGCCGATGTATAACATGTCTCTCTGTGCTGCTGCATCATATTTCCTCTCTGACTCTCTCCACCATGTTTGATGATTTCATGCTTTACAAGACATGGTGGTACATACTTGTGTTGGGAATGATATAAACAAGGAAACATGAATATTCAGTGGTGAGACGTTTACTTTTTTTGGTTAAATTAAATGAGAAAATACCTAACTTATCTGACTCTTGTTGACTATGAAAATATCAGACTTGAGCTGCCTGTCTGAACACAGTGTAAATATCAGAATCACTGCAAGGGAAGTGCAAAGAAATACATTCAATTTCGCAAAGAAAGAATTTGAGAAAAACATTGTTCAAAACACCTCCACTTATTTCCCCTTATTTGTAACAATTAAAAATGAATGGCGTCTTTTTAATGCCTATATAACATCTATATAATATTGCAAGGCAGGCCCTTGTGTGTATTTTGATTCTGTGGGCTGATCTCTCAGCTGGATTGCCAAATAATGAGGTTTTTTCTCTCTTCACAGGTTTCATATTTTGAAATTTACTTAGATAAGATCCGGGACCTTTTGGATGGTAAGTGGCTGTGATGTACCCCTCGTCTCTCTTAGATGTACCAGACAGTGCAAACAGACATTATAGAGTATGTGGAACATGCTGTGAATTAACCTGTGTTTGAAACATGATGGACAGGCGGTATTAGCTGTAAAACACACTGACTTTGTTGTTAATAGTGAGCTGTAAATGTGTATGTTCTACACAAAACACATATAAAAACACTGTCCTCAAGTGAGTCTGTTAAGCAGAACATTTCAGGGCAAGTGTTTCACATTGGGCACCACCTTGAACAGATTTGTGTCAAAATGAGCTGCAAAAACTTTAAATATCTTTCTTTTGTGTTATCAGTTCTTGTGATGATGTCGTCAAGACACTGACAGAATAAGAACTGAATTCAGTTTAGTTCCCCCACAATCCCCCACAATACTTGTTATGAGCAGTTGTAGCTAATGTGTCCTATAAACCTGCTGAGTGGAAGGTTTTCTGGTTTGTAGGCTGTAAATTGGCCAGTGGGGAAAGACTTTTGAAGTTAATTCAACTCCCAAGACCATTTGAGATGTGATGACCAGAGATCATCCTCACTAGTCGTCGAAACGGAAGCAAAGACTTCCTTAAATATTTTAAGCGCACAGGCAAAGATATAAACAGAACTTAACTTCCTATCTGCATTAATGTTTGAAGTAGTAAACCCGCAATATGCAATTGAGTTTCCCTCATAGCCTTTTTTCCTCTCATCTCCAGTGTCAAAGACCAATTTGTCAGTGCATGAAGACAAAAACAGAGTACCCTACGTCAAGGTGAGAGCTAACCTCCTTTTCACGTCTCAAGTATCCGGTAGTGTAGTTTGTCTGTGTGTAGACCAACAATCTCAATAATTCTGCTTTCCTTCACAGGGCTGCACTGAGAGATTTGTCTGCAGTCCAGAAGAGGTCATGGATACAATTGATGAAGGCAAATCAAACAGACACGTAGCAGTTACAAGTAAGACGCCATCCTGCTGTTTTACAACCATCTGTGTCACAAATCCATTAACTGTGCTTTGTGCATTTTTGAGGCTGATACGTTTTGACCACATGGGTGTCATCTCTCCTTTAGACATGAATGAGCACAGCTCCAGGAGTCACAGTATTTTCCTGATAAACGTCAAACAGGAGAACACTCAGACAGAGCAGAAGCTCAGCGGAAAACTTTACCTGGTGGATCTGGCTGGTAGTGAAAAGGTACAGAGAGTCAAAGGAACACTAAACCATCTGTCTTACGTATTTATAGATTTCTTTGGTTTGGCGTACTCATTATTGAAGTATTGTAATCCACATTTTTTGGTAAACCCATTTGCTCTCCATTGTCTACTTGGGTTGGGTCCAGAGTCTGTCCTTTGTCTTAAACGTTGAACAGCACAGCACCTTGTTGAGGTTATTGTCTGTGATTTTATAGGTCAGTAAAACAGGAGCAGAGGGAGCAGTGCTGGATGAAGCCAAGAACATCAATAAGTCTCTGTCATCTCTGGGAAATGTCATCTCTGCCCTGGCTGAAGGAACGGTCAGTAACTCCCCTTCAACTCTCTTTAGTCGTACAGGCTTTGGTGGTGTTTCTTAAATCTGTTGGTGCAATTATCCGTCTGTTAATCCATTAGTTGAATATGTTGTGGTGGTGTTCTGTGGGATTTGGTCATTCAGTTTGCACTGTAAGTAAAAGTGAATTATCTGAGGAGATAAATGTGTTTTCTAATTGAGGGTACTGTGACACAGTTAACGGTCTTGTCAGTTAAGCTTTAATCTTTACTTCAGAACATAGCTCATTGAGCACAATAAATGTTAGATCTGTTATAACCTCAGGTGATGATTTTTCCCCCTAATGTTTTCATAGCATTTTGGAATTACAGACATTACTGCTAATGCCGCAGACATAAGGGAAGTCTACGGTCTACCAGCTGCACAGCCCAGAGCGAGGTGTGCATCTGGAAAAAAAACCAGCATCTTTTTCAGTTATCTTACTGTGAAAGCACAATTTACAGCCATCTACAGGTCCTTTGTGCTGCAGCAATAACTTGGGCAGATAAAAACTTTCCTCCAAGCAATGTTTTGCTTCAGATAGCTTCACAGCGATTTCACACTTTTCACTTTAATCAACGATTGGTTTGTTCTAGGGTCCCTTTCGCTCTGTAAACAACCTGGGGCGGACAGCTGCTGATATATTTGAGATCTAAAACAAATGAGCTATTGTACAGAGAACGTCTCACTCCCGACTGAGCATAGTGGTGTCTAAAGAATTACAGCAGACTGCCGCAGCATGGCTGTTTGTATCAATACCAATAACATATCAAGTTATCATTTAACTGCCTTCTAGTTTTACTTAACTCATGAGAACTGTAACCAAACCCATCACATCCTGATGGCTCGGTGCCGGTGAAACCACAGGCCTCGTCTTCAGTGTCAGCACAGCGGGAACAGCATGTTTAAGTGTATTATCCTAGCTTACACAATACCATACTTTTTGTATTTCTTTTATTTTTCTCTGTCTATAATTTTAAGTCTGTGTGCCTTTAAGGCTGTCTGTATTTTTAGGGAAGGAGAGCTCTGCTACAAAATACTGTGCAGAACTGTGATTTCCTTTTGTAAGAGGTGCTTTGCGTGGATTTTTTCTTCCCACAACAGAGATTTTCTCCTATTTTGTTGGGTCCACTACAATTTGTGCCCTGCTCATTGAATTTTCCTGTTTATGTTTTTGTGTATACCAGGCCTACATCCCCTACCGAGACAGCAAGATGACCCGTATCCTCCAGGACTCGCTGGGTGGTAACTGTCGAACCACCATCGTTATCTGCTGCTCTCCTTCCTCCTATAATGAGGCCGAAACAAAATCCACTCTCATGTTCGGACAAAGGTTGGTAGGCCAGTAGAACGAAAACAATTTCTTCAGTTTGTCATATAAATACTTTTGAATTGAGATCGCTTTAAAATTTTGAATAGAGTTTAAGAAATCCATGCCATACATGTATTAATGATCATTATCACAGTTGGTCCAGTGATGGTGCAAGCTTGGTCGCTGGTACATTTAGGAACCTTTTTATGAAGGAATAATGGTGCATATAATTCTCTCATTAGTCATTAGTAATACTAAAAATAATAAAATCAATGTTTTTTTTTTTTCTACATCCAGAGCAAAGACCATCAAGAACACGGTCACTGTGAACATCGAGCTTACAGCAGAGCAGTGGAAGCAGAAGTATGAGAGGGAGAAGGAGAAGAATAAGACCCTGAGGAACACCGTCACCTGGCTGGAGAATGAGCTGAATCGCTGGAGGAATGGTGAGGAAGTCTTATTCCATTGTTTTTGAGAAGATGAAGCTTGACAACCTTTTACGTTTTGATTTAGATTCTTTTGGTGTTTGAGGTGAAATGTGCTGCTGTGGTTCCAGTGCTGGTTGTGCCAGATTTAGTCTTTAATTCCTAGATAACAAACATGAGTACACCTGTTTGTAAAGCTGTAATGTATTAACATGTAGAAGTGGTGATCATTTTATCTTTATCATGACAGACTGCCTCATGCATATGATTTAAAGCACTGGTGTTTGTCTGCTGTGTATCAGGGACAGCCTGCTTTAAACTGTATTTTTGAGTACAAATGAAGCTCTTTACTCACCATCTGTGCATACTTAATGTGTGTGTGCTCCCACAGGTGAGAGCGTGCCAGTGGAGGAGCAGTTTGACAAGGAGAAGGCCAACGCCGAGGTGCAGGCCTTGGACAACATAATCAATGAAAAGCCGGCCGTCACACCCAACGTGCCGGGTGTTCGCCTCACCGACGTGGAGAAGGACAAGTGTGAGGCTGAGCTGGCCAAGCTTTACAAACAGCTGGACGATAAGGTGAGGGACATGCATGAGTTTGATGAATGTTGGGTTTTTAGTCTTTGCACATTATGTATACAGGTGTTATCACTATTCACACATTGAAACTAGAAAAGGACATAATGAAGTTCATCATAAGATACGCAAATGACCCTGTAAAATGGCTGTGGGTTATTTGAAGGGAAATAGAACAAATCTGTAGAAACAAACTAAGAGGAATAATGACATGCCTAGTTAACAGCAACAGGAGGAACAGCAGTCACTACTAAATTAAATAATGCTCATTTCTTTTGGACAAATACAAATATTCCATTATATTTCCCAAAGCTTTTTTCATCTATCAGTGGTCTGTCATCTTTTAACTACCGTCTCCTGTGATCTGGATGGTGCCTGCTGTGAATGCTAATGTCGCTTTGTGTCTCTGCTCTTTACAGGATGAGGAAATCAACCAGCAGAGCCAGCTGGCTGAGAAGCTGAAGCAGCAGATGCTGGACCAGGATGAGGTGAGAACTGGAGGTCCAACAGGTGGAGGGAAAGCACAGCGGCAGAGTGAACTCTTGGTCTTTGTAATTTCAGAGGTGTGGGGTAACACATGCCCCTGTCAGAGCTGTCAAGTTGTATTTATATTTTATTAACTCCAGTCCTGTTGTCTCAAGTAGAGCTACAATATTCAGTTAATATAGGATTTACTTTGATAGTTTGGTCCCATACTCATATTTTTAGCAGCACGAGTTTTGCACACTGTATATGTCAGAACATGACTACTACATCCCAATACCAGTCCTAGTTTCACTGACATTCCTGAGGTCATTTTCAGAACAGCTGCATGCATCTATCAGTTTTAAAATACAAAAGTCAGCAAGGAGAAAAAGCTTTTGTGTTTAATAATAGATCAAATAAAAATGCTAATTGCTTTCTCATCCATACTGTGAAAAAAACACTGAATAATGTCTGCAGCCCTAATGCATTTGAAAACAAATGACATAATTATACTTCTCTCCCCCCGCTTGCAGCTTCTAGCCTCCTCCCGCCGCGATCACGAGAACCTCCAGGCAGAGCTGAACCGCCTGCAGGCAGAGAACGAGGCCTCCAAGGACGAGGTGAAGGAGGTGCTGCAGGCCCTGGAGGAGCTGGCTGTCAACTACGACCAGAAGAGCCAGGAGGTGGAGGATAAGACCAAGGAGTTTGAGGCCATCAGCGAGGAGCTTAACCAGAAATCGGTGAGCTGGGGACAGATATCTGCATTCCCAAAGTCCCTGTGACACTTTAATGTTGGTCATGTGCCTTTTATTTGTCCTTCATTTTGGCATGTTAATATGCAACACTATAATTAAACTAGAACAACCTGCAGGGATAAAAAGAACTACAACCATGCACACATTTATTGCTACAGTTGCTTCCTTTCTTTGATCATTTAAAATTCTGTCTCATGCTGTGCCATGAGTATGATGTATTGGATTTTTGCAGGAGCGAAAATCCTTCAGCACAAAATAGTGTAGCTTCAAAATAATCTTGCTCCCATAACAAAGATTTAATGTACTCTCTTCCTGCAGTCCATCCTGTCATCTCTGGACTCTGAGCTCCAGAAGCTGAAGGAGATGTCCAACCACCAGAAGAAGAGGGTGACCGAAATGATGTCTTCACTGCTCAAAGACCTCGCTGAGATTGGCATCGCCGTAGGCAGCAATGACATCAAGGTAGAGGAAGAAGGAGTTCTCTGAATTGTTTGAATGGGTGATAATATGGAATCCTTACTCATGTTGTGATAAAAATATATGGGGGAAAAAAGTTCAGGCTAAGCGACTAATGATAACGTATGTAGTACAATGTCAGTTCACATACGCTGATGATCAAATGCATGAACACGCAGTTCTTTCTTCTTCCTCCTCTGTGCGGTGTCTCCTCTTCAACTTTCCTCTTCTGCCCTTCCAGCAACACGAGGGCGGCAGCGGCATGATAGATGAGGAGTTCACAGTGGCCCGTCTCTACATCAGTAAGATGAAGTCAGAAGTGAAGACCATGGTGAAACGCTGCAAGCAACTGGAGAGCACCCAGTCAGAGAGCAACAAGAAGATGGACGAGAACGAGAAGGAGCTGGCTGCCTGTCAGCTGCGCATCTCCCAGGTACGAAGGAACAAAACACAAAGTTCTGAACTGCAAACACATTCCTGACGGATCTCATATATGTACGTACTAAATGTCTGTATTATTTGTTCTGTCTCCAGCATGAGGCTAAAATCAAGTCCCTGACTGAGTACCTGCACAACGTGGAGCAGAAGAAGAGGCAGCTGGAGGAGAACGTGGACTCTCTCAATGAGGAACTTGTCAAGCTCAGTGCTCAGGGTACGTCACTATTCAAAGACAGAGCAAGAAATATAGTAGTAACAGAAGTCTGCATAAATATTTCTATTAGAGGCACGTTATTCCTAACAGGAGCTGAGGAATCGAAGTTAAACAGCCTCTCAGGAACTATTAAATCTCAACATATTTATCCAACTCAAGAAATGTGCTACGGTTGGGTTTCAAGAAATCGTTTGAAATTGGAACCAGGTCCAAATTTATAAGAACTGGAGATTGGTTAGGAAGCATGCTTTTCAGTTTCAAGTGTTGATTCCTGATACTGAAGTATTGATCTACTGTATTGTATAGTGTGGTGTTTACAAAATGGATCAGATAAAGTGCTAAAAAGTGCACAGGACTGTAGTGGCATGGCAAAAGTCTATCAAAGTCTACATTTAGTTTTAGCTTTCAGTGTTATTTGGCTTCTTTTCTTAATCAAATAATGTGACAAGAATCTGATCCAGGATTTGTGTAGTGTAAACACAACCCAATCCTAACTATTTTTATATTCTTAAGGTTCAGTGCAGACTAACATCACCATGTTTAGCCCTCTACTGCCGTCTCATGATAACGAATCTTGTTTGTGTTTTACAGAGAAAGTCCACGCTATGGAGAAAGAGAATGAGATCCAGACTGCCAATGAAGTCAAGGTATGTTCCTCAGCCCCATTAAACACTGGACACACATGCACAATACAATATTGCAAATTGTGCAAGGGAGAGAGACAATTAAATATATATTTCTGTCATTCTGGTTTGTGGCGCCATCAACAAACATTTAAAAATTCTGACAGACAGAAAAATCCAGAGCTTAGCCTACACTTCTTATCAAAAACCTTGTGTGAAGAATCCCAACATGCTAAATGCATCAACTTAACAGTATTAAAAGTAGTCTTTTCCTGTATGTTTGTGAAATTATACTGTCAAATTAATGGCATGCAAACGTTGTGTGTTTGTGTGTGTTTAGGAAGCGGTGGAGAAGCAGATCCACTCCCATCGTGAAGCTCATCAGAAGCAAATCAGCAGCCTGAGAGATGAGCTGGACAACAAGGAGAAACTCATCACTGAGCTGCAGGAGTAAGACAAAACAAACAAAAGAACACCAAGAGGGACACATTTGACATTTTCATCTTGTTCCAACTGTTATTACAATAAAGGAGTACTCCCTGTTTACACACAGATTCAGTCAGTAGGTTCATATAAACATGATGCTTTGTCGTCTCTTCCAGTCTGAACCAGAAGATCATGCTGGAGCAGGAGAGACTGAGAGTGGAGCATGAGAAACTCAAATCCACCGACCAGGAGAAGAGCCGCAAGCTGCATGAGCTTACGTACGTTTCNNACCTGTCACCTGGTCACTGTTTCCACTCTGTTGGCTCAGTCTGGTTCAGTTTAATGGCCGAGCACGCGTTCACTGTCTGTAATTTCACACAGCAACATTGTAGCGTGGGTATTTGTTTAGATTTTAACTATTGCTGTTGTTGTTGTTTTTCAGGGTGATGCAGGACAGAAGGGAGCAGGCCAGACAGGACCTGAAGGGTCTGGAGGAGACAGTGGTGAGTTCATATCAATCAAATAATGATTAAAAGCACTTATTGTGGGTCCATTTAGTATCAGATAACAGGGTTACATCCCTCCAGTTAAATTGATTGTATCATTGAGTTAACGTCTTGTTTACTTGAACAGACACATTGTTAACAGACAAGTTGTTAATACCAGAATGGAGATATCAGAGAAACAAGTCAAACCAGTTTCCACTACAATTGTTTTTCCATTCTGCAGCTACTATTTACAATAAACATTCATTCCAGATGAAAGAATACTTTTGAATTCAACATTAGCCTCAGTATTGTGGTTTTCAATATGCAGGAACACTTGTTCACATTTGAGTTTCTTTGATCTGAGAAAGATATCTGCTGTGTTCAATTCTTAGATAAAACACTGATTCTTTCTGTTTTTTTCTTACTTTGATTTCTTCTTATTTTTCAAGGCCAAGGAGCTGCAGACCCTGCACAACTTGAGGAAGCTCTTTGTCCAGGACCTGGCTACCAGGGTGAAAAAGGTGAACCAATATGATGAGACATTCTTTGTCTGCTACAAAGAAAATCTCTTCAGTTACAATGTGGGAGGACACAATAGTTCTGCAATGAACCACAACTATGTTAGGATGACTGAAGTGGTACAGATTACAGGAGTGTATGATGGGTATTATTTAAGTTTGAATCCTTGTGTTTTATTTGTTGTGCAGAGCGCTGAGATGGACTCGGATGACACAGGTGGGAGTGCAGCACAGAAACAGAAAATTTCCTTTCTTGAGAACAATCTTGAGCAGCTCACCAAGGTTCACAAACAGGTACGGTCTTAATATACACATCGAGCAGCAATTCAAAGATTATTGATCTCCTTTAAGATCTCATACTGTCTGACTGATCTCCCTTTGCTGTTCTGTCCTTTTTTCTTTCTTCTTGGTCTGTATTCATCTTAATCTCTGCCTTTATATCAGTTCACTCTTCCATCCTCTCCTATCTTCTTGTAGCTATCTTTCCTCGATCTATCTGCCCATTTCCGCCTTTGCTTCCCCTCTGGTAGGCTGCTGTAGAATGGTAGATGGAAGAAATGATCTAAACTGATGTAAATTGTCCCACAGCTGGTGCGTGATAATGCAGACCTGCGCTGTGAGCTTCCGAAACTGGAAAAGCGTCTTCGTGCTACGGCTGAGCGGGTCAAGGCCCTGGAGTCTGCTCTGAAGGAGGCCAAGGAGAACGCCGCCCGCGACCGCAAACGCTACCAGCAGGAGGTGGACCGCATCAAAGAGGCCGTGAGGGCCAAGAACATGGCCAGGAGGGGACATTCGGCCCAGATCGGTTAGTAGGAGGGGATGGGGTGGGAAATACATTACACCTTGTTTTCTTCAGGGCAGAAGATTCCTGTTATACTACTATTGTACAAGATCATTTACATTATTAATACTCTTCTTAATGCATCATTAAGGGTGATCTAATTCATGTTGTGTTTGAAATGAAATACAAATCTCTCTGACATCATAAACCTTCACCTGAAAAGGCCGTTACTCACTCTCCTCTTCCTCCCCTCCCCTCCCCAGCCAAGCCTATCCGGCCCGGGCAGCAGCCAGTGGCGTCTCCCACCCACCCCAACATCAACCGCAGCGGAGGAGGCTTCTACCAGAACAGCCAGACGGTGTCCATCAGGGGAGGAGGCACCACCAAGCCAGAAAAGAAGTAAGTGTGACTCAGCTCTTTCTTTTCATGGAGCTAAGGAGAAAAAGATGCAGTAACTAACGGAGGGACGTTTAAATGACAGTAATGGACCCACGATACTGCATTGAGGGGCATTTAATGAGCTAGTCTTCTGTATGGTTTATTGAATTCTCATTAATGTCCACAGTTCCATTCAGGATGTGGGCCTTTTGTTACATATCTCTCTTCCTGCTTCTCCACATTCACACAGTCCAGGCAAAATGCCTGAAGATAAAATAAGAGCATACATAGCTGCCCATCCATTGTTTTTAGTTTACTGCATCTGGTGACTGACGACAGAGTAAAAGAAGCAAAGAATATTATGATGGTATTGTTATATTATATATTTTTGATCATTATTATAACATACACTTTTGTATCACTTTTCAAACATGATGTTAGCAAACTGCTTTACAGAACTAGAATAAGCAAACTGTAAGATTAAAACAATAAAAAGTTGAAAAGAAGAGGATGAAAAATACAATAATAAATACTTTGAAGGAATTTTACATTGATTATACCCGTACCTCCGTAAACACATGAATGTTTCATGTTTGGAATCCAGTTTTTTTGTGGACACGTGTTCATTTTCAGATTGTCCTTCAGGTTTTCTACGGGCTCTAAAATCCAATAATATGAATGTTTTAAATATGTTTGGAACAAGTTTTTAGACTTAATTGGATTCATGAAGTTAGTGTTTATAAGTTTCAGTTTTTAGTTGTTTTTTTAAATGTGTTTTGGAAAAATGTATTGATCGCACTGTAACAGCAACAAAATGAAACAAACATACAGCCTGATTGTCCTTCACGTTTCACACTTTTTCTTTTGCAAGTATCGATGTGAAAGGTTTTAAATTGCATTCATTATTACCACGAATGCAAGAGGCAACTTTTTCTTTTCTTTTACTGGGATACAAGTTGTCAGCTGAATGATGGATGGTAGCAGGTGCTGAAAGGACGACTTTCACTTACAGCGTCCTTTCTCTCTGTTTATCTGCAGCTGAAGAACAGCGGGAAAGAAGGACGACACCACTGAAGAAGCCAATATCACCCCCCC